GGAAGCTGCTGTCAAAACATCAAAAGTCTACATTTTCGACATCACTAAGGCCGATGCCATCTTCGACTAGTTGTTACTTGCAAAAATCGTCAAGCTTCAACCAAGGTACAATATTCCCAAAACAAAAGATTTGAAAGGAAATATGTATTGCAAATACCACAATTCGAACAAGCATACGACAAACAACCGTGTCGTATTTTGGGACGTCACCCAAAGTTGGATTGATAATGGTAAACTTAAGTTTCTTGAGAAACAAATGAATATTGATGTCGATCCTTTCCCTATGACGACGGTAAATATAGTAGATGCTCATCTACCTAGGGATAAAGGAAAAGGGAAGGCTGAGTTCATCCCAATGCAATTCATCCTTAAGCGGAACTCTTGGCCACTATTGAAGATTGATTTATCTTCAAATGAGCCACCCAAATACTTTTCGAACCCGGCTTATGTCGAGTCAAGGTTAGACTCAAGCGCAGAAGAAACTGACGGGCTGATTATTGTATGTAGTTGGTGCAAATCAAACGTCATCTTAACTAGGCAGAAGGAAAAGCCACTGCAGGCTGAAATATTATAACAGGTGCCCATAGTTACGGTAACATCCAAAAAAGTGCTCGATGCAGGCCAACGCCAGAAAGTTTTTTATAGGCTCGGCCCTCAAGTACATGATAACAAGCTGTCTACAGCCAGACAATGCCTTGATTTCGATGCGCTATTTTACAATGAGGAGTATTATGCGTGCAACTCTGGCAGTTTAAGTTCACTAGCGACCCAGCACACCTTCAAGCCACCTGAGCCACGTGACCAGTGTTGGTACAACTATAACTCTCTGACCGGTATGTATACTGCATTGTCCAAATCACATAAACGTCGGCGCCAACAAATAAACAGTATAACTCACAGATGAGCAGCTCAGGGTACCTTGACTACCAAATGGCAGCTGAAAGAAACGATTGATAATAAAGATGACCGAAAACCTCCGGTAATCATGACCGAATTACTTAAAGGGAAGAAGGTAATAGGAAGCCACAAGCAAACTTTCCCTGCTACCTTCACAAAAATCGTTAATTAAAGTCAGAATGAATCTCCACCCACTCTTTCTCGATGAAGCTTTGGAGTATATGCAGGAATTTCACAAGAAGCATTCGGCAAATAACTTGTATGGCCTGCCAAAAGCATGCCAAGAGGATCTTAATCTAGCGCCAACTTGCCCCGATGCCGAATAGATCATTCTAAAAACCTCCAATATTTGCGGTATCATTTTGAAGTTTTCTTAACCGTTGCCCTCTTTTATCTTATTGTCAATGAGAAAGAATGCGTGGCGCGATTAGATGCTTACCTGGACATAAGAAATGCCCGCATCACATATTAGGATCGGACTCTCAAAGCTTCACAAGAGCAACACTAAGTCCTCACGCTGAGCGAGCCCGAGGTCGACAATCAGAACGAAACGGATCCGGTGGATGCACCGCAAGAACGTATTCTCGCAATGACCGAAAAAGATCAGGCGGATAATGCCCATGAGCAAGATACTTCACCCGAAAATCCAGAAGACAAAGATCATGACCTAATGGGCCTTTCGGTTCTCGACAACATGGAAATCAGCATAGTCCATGTCTTACCTGCCGAATTCCAGCCAACCATATCCCAGCCAAATTTCCTGGACGACGACGTGGTTATCGAGGAGGTTACGTAAGTCGATTTTATGGCCACCGAAGAGATTGGGCAAATAAGCAGGGAAAATAAACTTAAAGCAGCTCTTGTTGAATTGTTTCCTTGTTCCTCACCAGTTAATCTTCATCATTTAAAGTCGTTGTATGTTATGACTCATATTAAATGATACCCGATTTCTAAATTTTTTGTCGATTGTGGAACAACGGTCAACATCATGCCCATTTCTATCATGAAGGCATTACGCCGCTCCAATGATGAACTCATTCCATCAAGGGTAACCATGAATAGTTTCGATGGTGACAAATCTCAAACTAAGGGAGTGCTTCCTTTAGAGGTGATGATTGCATGTTGAAATCACACGACCGAATTCTTTATAGTGGATTAAAAAATCGAGTATAATGCATTGCTTGGTCAGGATTAGATCCATCAAATTGGCTGTATCTCCTCGTCACTGCATCACGTTCTTATCTTCTGGGATGGCAAATCAACTGTGGTTTAAATAGTCGAGAATCAATCGTTTGAGGCGAATATGATTCAAGCTCGTTATTATGATGATTATGTTAGCTACATTACCCTGTAAGGTTTCAACGAAGAAGGACAGTCGACTCATATTTCAGTTCAGAAAGCCATCGAAGTTGGTGCCGAGACTGTTCAACAAGATTCGGTGAGACACAGGTTGGCTAACTTAATTGATAGTCCCGATGTCTAATACTAGACAGGATAAATGCCAAGCCATGGTTTCATCTACCATGAAGCACCTACTAGCCCATTGGTCTGCTATTTCCAAGCAACTAAATTTTGGCGTGAACTTAATAGAGTTCATTGCCGAATGAACAACAGTCCAATGTTGTCCTTTGATAAAGTTCAAGCTACCCCAGCCGAGCTCGAAGACAGTCAGCCCTCAGTCAAAGATCTGTTAGAAGAAGTAAATGTTGGAACGGTTACCCTAACCTATGAAAACTGAGCTTTGTAAATTACTCAAAGAATTTAAAGATTGTTTTGCTTGGAGTTACCATGAGATGCCTAGTTTAGATCGAACACTTATCGAGCACGAATTACGCATCAAGGCTGGTTGTAAACCTTTCCGCCAACCCCTTCGAGGATTCTCAACCGAAGTACAACTCGACATAAAAGATGAACTCGTTCGACTTTTAAAGGTTGGGTTTATTCGGACGACTCGATATGTCAAATGGTTGGAAAATATCGTCCCAGTTTTAAAAAATAGTGGTGCTCTACGTATTTGCATCTATTTTCATAATTTAAATTTGGCAACCTTTAAAGACGAATATACAATGCAAATTTCAGATTTGTTAATCGACGCAGCGGCAAAGCACGAGATGTTATCCTTCATGGATGGCTATGCTGGTTATAATTATATTTCCATTACTGAGGCCAATGTTCACAAAACTGCTTTTCGTTGCCCGGGGGCACTCGGGACTTACGAATAGGTCATCACACCGTTCAACCTTAAAAACGTCAGTGCCACATACCAACGTGCTATGAATACTATTTTCCATGACTTAATTGGCACCATCGTTGAGGTATATATCGATGATGTTGTGGTCAAATAGAAGTGCCACCGAACATATTTGGATGGTCTTCGACAAGCTTTCCTTCGTATGCGCCGACATAACCTTAAAATGAACCTTGTCAAGTGCATCTTTGGTGTATCGACAGGCAACTTCTTAGGTTTCCTCGTACATCACTGCGGCATCGAGGTGGATGCAAATAAAGCTCGAACAATCATTGATGCTCCACCCCGAACAGCTAAGAAGCAATTATAATCATTACTCGGTAAAATCAATTTCCTCCGCCGTTTCATTTCTAATTTAGCAGGGAAGATGAAAGCTTTCTCCATGCTCTTGAAACTTAAGGATTTTGACAAATTCAAATGACGTAAGGAACACCAAGATGTTTTTACGCAAATCAAGGTCTCCCTCATTACCTCACATGTCCTTGTGCCACCTCAGCGCAGCAAACCCCCCAAGCTGTATATCTCGACGGCCGAATAATCCATTGGCTGTCTTCTTGCACAAGACAACGAAACAGGGTGGGAGCAAGCCATTTTTTACCTTAGCCAAAATCTTAACCCCATTGAGATAAATTATCCACCAGTTGAGAAACTCTATTTAGCTTTGTTATTTGCTGTGTCTAAGCATAGGCATTACATGCTCCCTTCTGTTACGTAAGTTATAGCCTAGACATATGTTATTTGCTACATGCTCACTCAGCCGATAGTAAAAGGCCGAATTGGGATATAGACAATGGCGTTGTCCAAATTCAGTCTGCAATACGTACCCTATAAATTCTTCAAAGGACAGGCACTGGCCTATTTGTTAGCTCAACACCCCTCTTCATACTGTTTTGGGGGCAACGACGTCGAAATTGGCATTGTGGAAACACGTGATAATTATTGGACGATGTATTTTGATGGCTTTAGTACCTCGACCTCAGCTGGCGTTGGAATCGTCATCCAGTCCCTTGATCGCTACCAATGGTATTTTTCTTTCAGATTGGATTTCGACTATACAAATAATTAGGCTGAATATGAGGCCCTTATTATCGGCCTTAATGTCCTTCACGACTTGAGGGCAGCCGTTGTATTCGTACTTGGCGATTCAGAACTTGTGATTAACCAACTCAATGAGACTTTTCGTTGCATGAGTTGCACTCTGGCACCCTATCACATGGTTGTCAGCTATTTAGTCGAATCGTTTACAACCATTACATTCAAGTATATCTCATGAGCTCGAAATACTGACGCAAATGAACTGGCTCAAATAACCTCTGGGTACAACTCTTGGGAGGTGAACTAGGTTGGGTCATACCAATAGTGCGTGGTCCGCGCCCAGCCTTGGTTAATCAGTAAGCTTTCCAAAAAGACCACGTGATCCGTACACGAGTAATGTCCTTACCTTTATTGTTGGAATGAGAGGAACCTGCAGATATATGCGCGGTTGAGACATTACCAGACGACTGGAGAAGATAAATACGACCGCAAGACAAGGGTATATACCACGAATTAAGCAATGTATCAGAATGAGCTACGCCGAAAAAGTGAAGACGGCTTATTGTTATTATGCCTCGGCTCGAAAGAAGCCGCCCAAGCTATTACAGAAGTACACGAAGGAATATGCGGGGCTCATCAATCCAGACACAAAACAAGGTGGTTACTCCGTCGACACGGCTATTTCTGGTCGAGTATATTGAAAGATTATATCGAATACGCGCGAGGTTGTGTACAATGTCAAATCCATGGGCCCGTACAGAGAGTCTCGACCGAATTACTTCACTCGGTCACCAAACTGTGGCCATTTAGAAGATAGGCTATGAATGTGATCGATAAAATTACGCCATCTTCTGGGTCAGCAAAGCATGCATGGATACTCGTTGCGACGCACTACTTCACCAAATGGGTCGAAGCAAAGTTATACTCTGAGTTAACCTTTAAAGAGGTTTGTAATTTTGTGGATGAAAACATCGTGACAAGATTCGACGTGCTAGAAATGATTATAACTGAAAACGACGCAATTTTCACGACGGACAAGTTCAGAGAATACACGGCGAGTGTAAAAATTTGGCTCGTTCAGTCCACGTTGTATTACCCACAGGAAAATGGACATGCTGAAGTAAGTAATAAAGTTTTAATCTGTATCCTTGAGAAAATGATAAAAGAAAAACCTGGTATGTGGCATTTAAAGTTAAACGAGGCATTATGGGCATATCGAACTTCACTCTGATCAGTAACAGGGACAACCCCATATACGTTGACTTATAGACATGACATCATGCTACTAGTCGAGCTAAGCATAAACTTGTTACGAGTTATCGAACAAAGCAGTTTGTTCAATGCCAAATATAATCAGGCCATGAGGCAAGAGTTGGAGGACTTGGAGGAAGCTCGACTCGATGCCTATAATATACTAGTGGTGCAGAAAAAGATTGTTGAGGGAGCTTATAATCGACGAGTTAGTCAAAAGACGTTTGGTGAAGAGGAATTAGTATGGCAAACCGTGTTACCAATACGAATAAAAGACCCTGGATTTGGGAAATGGTCGTGAAATTGGGAATGACCATTCGTCGTCCACAAAATCCTTGGCAAATGGGGCATACCACCTCAGGGATCGAATTGGTTTGGTTCATAAATTGCCAATCAATGGAAAATTCTTAAAGAAATATTATCTGATCACTTGGGAAATGCAAGAATAAAAGATTTTATTGATTTTCAAAGGGTGTACAAGTAAAGTTACAAAAGTCAATCGGCATACAAGCCAGCATAAAAATCCTGGGGGGGTTGAAGGAAGGAAAGTTTCAAGAGTGGCTTTCAGTTCCAGCCACTTCACTTCACCCATCGTAACCTCGGCTTGTCATGTTCTTTTATCAAGCTTTAGTTATCACATCCCAGTCTCGACTCTGCCGTAGCATGAGATTGTCCGCTTTAGGCCCCGATCATGCCCTCACGATTTTATTTTTGGGAATTCACATGAGAACTTCCCAGTGGATCACCTATCCTAGGAATGCTCTCACCCAAACTCGCTTAACTTTGGAGTTCTGATAGAACCCGAAGCCAATAAGTTCCCAAAAGGCTTCGTGTTATAGGAGGTGGGCATGTACATATAAGGCACATCACCCCCTCTCCGTTGGTCGATGTGGGATGTTACAATCCACCCTACTTAGGAGACCGACGTCCTCGTCTGCACACTTGCACCACACAGCAAAGTGGCTCTACTACCATTCTATCACATCCCAGTCTCGACTCCGCCGTAACACGATATTGTCCGTTTTAGGCCTCGACCACGCCCTCACGGTTTTGTTTTTGTGTTTTGTAGGATTTGTCAAGCAAAAAAAAAAAAAAAAAAAAAAAAAAAAAAAGGCTACAAGTTGTAGCGGAAAGGGAGGAAAAAAGGCAAGGCAACAACGTTGGGGAAGGAGGAAATCTTGGCATTCTCTTCTTTCGGTTTTATCTTCTTAAACTAATGTCTTTCTTTTGGTTTAATTTAAGAATTATGTGTAACTAATTTTTAGAAGTGAGGGGTTGTTTTGAAGCCCCAAATATGATTGCAAGTTTGATATGACATTTCGTTTGAATTACTTTTATGAATGGATGAAAATTGGTTCACTACTTGTCTCAGTGATGAAGTCTTTATATGTTTTCTATGGATGCCTACTTAGTAAGCATATCTAGAATTCTAACACTATGAATATGTGTGTGCCTGCCCTTGTCGAATAAGGACCTACATATGTTCTAGAGTAGTACTTGTTAATTGCGATTTAACATGTGAACCAATTTCTGGGATAAGTAAGACAATGCTAGTATTTACGATGCCGTGTGATGACTTAAACTCTTTTCGTTCTTAATGATTTCTACTTGTTAAATCTATGAACACGCCATTCTAGATTGCATGCTAGGGACTAATTTAAGTTGCAAACGCCATTCTCTTAACATACTACATAGGAAAGAGTAATAGGTTGTTCTAACATTGAGCCAACTTGAGCATCTTCATCCGGAAATAGAAGGAATTTGAAAGAAACATAAGATGTTTGCATGATTATTTGGTGGTGGATAGTAATTTCCCTAGCCCGTTTTTCTTAACTTGTGAACTACAAACTATTTTTATTACTTAAAATATGTTTTTGTCCTTTTTTTGTTCGATTTAATTTAAATAGCAAATCAACTCCAAAAATCTCAAAAATTTGTGTGAGTGTAACTCTATGTGTCTAGTATCTTCATAGAAAATTTTGTAGACTTTAGATAAGTGTAAGTCGGTCTAATAATTATTTTTCGGTGACTGGTTAGTAGGGACAGTAACCCAGTTTTTGTGACATTTTAAGTAGTTAGATAAAACAATCTTCTGCGGGAAAAACCCTTATTTTTATATGCTACAATTGACAAATCTTAGTGTTAATAAAAAAAATCAATAGGACATTTGTGTGCTACTTTGTGGTGTGCTTTTAATCCTATCAAAGGTACCATCGTAGACATTAATCTTCATACGCGCCGTTCTAAGGAATGGTCTTCCAAATATAAGACGAAGTGTAGTAAGCATAGGGTCATGTTCCATCTCAAGAACAAAAAAGTCAGCGGGAAAAATTGGCTCATTCACTTGCACAAGCACATCCTCCAATAGGCCTTTGGGATATCTATTTGAACGATCTGCCAACTGGATTACTACCTTTGTTTCCTTCAAGTCTCCAAGGTTCAATGATTCACACATTGAATATGGCATCTGATTGATGGATGCCCCCAAATCACACAATGCTCTCCCAAACTCTTTCTCTCCAATTACACATGGAATGGTAAAGCTACCGGCATCCTTCAACTTCGGTGGCAGCTTCCTTTGCAAAACAGCTAATACTTCCTCGCTTAATGCCATAGTTTCTTGATCATTGGATCTCCTCTTGTTCGTACAAAGCTCTTTAATGAACTTTGCATACTTAGGCACTTGTTTTATGGCATCTAAAAAAGGTAAGTTCACTTGGACTTTCTGGAAAGTATCCAAGATTTCCTTATCAGTTTGCTCTTTCTTAGACTTCATAAACCTACGAGGAAAAGGAACAGGGATACATGAGTAAAATTAATTTTGAACTTCTTTACTTACTTTATCAGAATCTTTTTTGTTCTATTCTGTACCTTTAGGAAACTTTTCAGTTTCTGTTGAAGGCTCATCTTGCTCAAGATTTTTGGTTTGTAGCTCCCTTTGCTCATTTATATCTTTTCTTGTCCTCTTTTGTATCATCGGCTACTCAAAAACTTCTTTTCCACTCCTTAAAGTCACAACATTCATTTGCTCTGCATTTAGATTCACCACAGTTTGGCTAGGCAACCTTCCTCATTGGTGTTGTTGCCTCATTAAACTTGTTAACTGACTCATTTGGTGCTCAAGGTTTTCAATTGCTTTGTCTATTTTTTGTTGATAAGATAGAGTAGAGTTAGCTAAGGAAGCAATTAAATCCTCAAAAGACTTACTAGAAGCTTGTTGTTATTGAGGCTGAAATTGTGCATGATGTCTTGATTGAAAGAAGCCAGGTGGATGGTTATAGTTGTTGGCAACAAATTGTTGTCCATTGTCTTGATTATTACACTTAAGTGTGGATGACTGCGCCACCCCGCGTTATAGTCGTTGGAGTATGGATCATACTTTTACCTTTGTTGCCCTTGAATCCCTCCTAACTCATTAGCCTGCTCAAGACCACCTTGATCCATCAACGAAGGGCACATGTCTGTGGCATGTCCCATCATTGAACATACACCGCACACCTATTTTGGAGACACCATAACCTGTTGCACAAGATTAGTCAAGTTTTGTAATTCAATACTAGAATTAGCACTTACCTCGTTAATTTTCTTAAAAGGTAGCTCATTTCTCCCTCCAAATTGTCGTGTGTTGCTAGCAATGTTCTTTAACAATGCCTTAGCATTAGTTGCTGTCTTGTCCATTAATGCTCATCCACTTGCTGCATCAAACATTACACGATCAGTACCACGCAATCCTTCATAAAAGTACTGTATTAGAAGATGCTCTGAAATTTGATGATTAGGACAAGATGTAACCAAATGCGTGAACTGCTCATAGTAATCTCCAAAAGGTTATCCATGTTGTTGTCGGATTGCACATATGTCTTTCCTTATACTTGCAGCTTTTGTGGCTGGAAAATATTGCTCCAAGAATGCTTGCTTCACCTGGTTCCATGTGTTCATTGATCCCAGAGGTAAATTGTAAAGCCACTCTTTTGTCTTAGCTTCTAATGTAAATGGGAATGCCCTCAACTTGACCTGCTCCTCATCCATATTTGTTGGTCTCATTCTCGAGCATACCACATGAAATTCCATGAGATGTTTGTTGGCATCCTCTGTTGAGAAGCCATAGAACTTAGGCAAGTAGTGAATCATGCCGGACTTAAGCTCAAATCCTCCTTCTGTATTTGGATATGTGATGCACAATGGTTGTTGATCCATATTTGGTGTTGCCAACTCCCTCAAAGTGTGGTTATCAGCCATGCCTTCTTGTGGGTCTTCCTCTTCTTCTGAACTCAAATGTGGTAGAGAAGATGGTGATAAAGAACTGATGCATGCTTCTGCTTGATTTTTCTTTGAAGTTGTCGAAGTGTTCGTTCAAGCTCAGGATCATAGGAAACTAGATCAATGTTCTTGGACCTTCGAGTATGCATATAGTTTGATAAGATTAAAAGCACACCACAAAGTAGCACACAAATGTCCTATTGATTTTCCTTATTAACATTAAGTTTTGTCAATTGTGGCATATGAAAGTAAAGGTCTTTCCTGCGTAAGATTGTTTTATCTAACTACTTAAAATGTCACAAAAATTGGGCTATTGTCCCTACTGACCAGCCATCGAAAAATAATTATTAGACCGACTTACACTTACCTAAAGTCCACGAAATTTTATATGAAGACACTAGACACACAGAGATACACATGTGGAGCTAAAAATAATCAAGAGATAACGCGTGGATTTTTTGGTGGAAAAGACAAAATTACCCCTGAAGAGCACTAGAATTCCCGTGCGCAAGTAGTGGACAATCATACCACAATCAAGTCAAAAGTGCCCAAAATAGGTATTTATTCAAAACCTATTTCATCCATCTTCTCCACATGGTAACCCCCAAAACATTCCTTTTAAATTATGTTAATTAGCTAATTAATAGATTTATTACCTAACTAATCTATTAATGGCTAATTAAACTACCAATTAACTACAAAATACACTAAAAAACACCACAAAGGGTCCGGCCACCTTCTCCCCCCATGCCTTATATATACTACCCCATTTTCTCTAAAAGCCTAGGTCTACACTTTTGCTAAATACTCAAAATTCTCCAAACACTTTTTCTCTCTAAATTCTAACTTTGGCATCAAAGGTTCTTCAACCAAAGCCCCCTCATTCATCGTGGGTGCGTGAGGTTCTTGGCCATGGCCTAAGGTGTTATTTGTTGTATTGGTGCAATTTTGTCCAAGAACAAGGGGGAAGAAATTTGCATTGATCTATCACCATGGCTCATAACTGTGCCAATCTTGTACCATGGCTCCCAGCCATGCCGA